AGAGAGAGAGAGATAATCATGCACTCCTCTGAAACATTCTACCTTTGGAACAGCATGTTTTGGGAGCGATTCTCCCTTCAACTGCAGTTTCCCGTATTTCCTCCAAATGTGCTCCAGCAGGTTTGGGGACCCTGCAGAAAAGGTTGGCACTACACAAAAGTGGACAGGAATATTTTGTTGTACAAAATAAAGTCCTCTTCACACAGTGTTGAAGGGCACCCTTTTAAGGAGCTTGCTATCTTCTTGTATTCTGAGGACTTGAATGCTATAGCCAGAAAAAGTTTAAAAATTAGATTGAACTACCGTGTCTTAGTTTTCATTCACAGGAGTTCTGATGCAAGCAGCAACTACTTTGGGAAATATATCAATTTTCTTAGGTATTGGTAAAGGAATACATAAATTAATCTAGAAACAATCCATGTGATATAGTACTGTTTTATTGCAATGTTTAAAAAATTGCAATGTGTGTATTTTAACATATCAGTACTTCAACAGTAGCCAAAGCTATAAACCCATTTATTCCATATGGTTGGAATGTCCTTTTGTGTCTAGGGAGTTCTTTCATTTATATTTATGATGGTTTATGTTATGATGTTTGGTATCAGGCCTATATTTACATATGGCGGTGGTTATGTTATCTACATTTATCCTTCCTTTCCTTCAGTGGTCTCAAGGCAGCATATGTAGCTAGGTTCCCCCGATTTTCTCATCACAACAACACTTGACACACACACTAGCCTGAGATCATACATGGCTGAATAGAGATTCTGAATTGGATTATCATTCTTCTGTTGCTGAAGATATCTCACATGCTAGGTTTTGTGAAGGTCTCTCACTCATAGGGTTGCCAAAAGTTGAAGTTGGTGACAGTTAACAATGAAAGCTATTCAAAGCTAGGTGTCTGTATACCCTTCTTCCTCCCCAACAGAAAATGATCTTTGTACAATTAATGGAAATGCCCTCTAGAGCTCCTCTTTGCTTTTACCTTCCTTGTCAAACTGAGAGGACATAGCTCTCCTGTGTACAACTCCCATATTGGTGCTATTTATCTATCCATCTTGAACATCTGTCACAGCTTGTTGGGAAAGTGATTATTCATTTCCCAGTGTATAGTAACCCAGTGCCTGGAGCCTTCTTTCCTGTATATGCTAGTTTTGAATACACTAATTTTTCCATTAATTAAAGTTTTGGACCTTGCACTTTCTGCATTTTGTTTGTTGTCACACTTGACTAGTCCTTTCATTCTTAGTAGACCTGCACAAGAAAACTCCATATCTATACTATGGCTAGATTGCATAAAAATAAAAAAGCATGAAAACTGTTCTGGTCACCTAGGTAGAGAATGTCAGGTTCTGGGGCCACATTTGGCTCTCTAGGCTGTCTCAGGTGCCCATACCTCCTGTCCCATGAAACTACTGTATGTGGTTTTCCAACTTTTATATGTTGTTTCACACTCTGAAGATTTCTGTAACGCACTCTACATGGGGCTACCCTTGTGCCCAACCCAGAAACTTCAGTTAGTCCAAAATATGGCAGCCAGGTTGGTTACGGGAACATCTAGGAGAGAGCTGTGCTGAAATCTCTCCACTGGCTGCCAATTAGTTTCCGGGCGCAGTACAAGGTGTTGGTTTTGACCTTTAAAACCCTACATGGCTTGGGTCCATCTTATCTCAGGGACCGCCTCTTCCCATACGATCCTACCCCCGCGCACTTCGGTCCTCTGGGAGGAATCTGCTGCAGCCTATGAAAACTAGGCTGTCGCAGACCTCCCAGAGGGCCTTTTCTGTCGCCGCTCCAAGATTATGGAATGGCCTGCCTGAGGAGATCCGTCTTATTAGCACTCTTGACTGCTTTAAAAAAGCAGTAAAGATGGATCTCTTCCGGCAGGCCTTCCCGGAATAACTCTCCCGCCCTAACAGAGTTGGGTGGATACTGCTCCCAACCACCACTGTTTGTTTAGCTTTAAGTTATTGAATTGTTTTAGTTTGATATTTTAATTATTCTACTGGTTTAATTCAATTTTATGGGGTGGGTGGGTTAGGGATTGGGGGGGCAGAAGTGTTTTAACTGTTGTATGTTTTAATTTGTACGCCACCTCGATTGCTTTGCAGAGGGGCAGGTTAAAAATAAAAATTATTATTATTATTATTATCATCTCCTAAGGCTTAGACCAGGGACCGGCAACCTATGGCCCAGAGGCCGGTTAAGGCCCTGGGCC